TAAGGCCTAGAATAAATGAAAGTAATGAAAGGAATAATATAAATAAATATAACAATATTCAATTATGCATATTTAGCATTTAAGATTTTAATAAAAAGTATATACCTGACTATTTTATAATATATATTTGGCCTCTGTTAAGTCAGTTGCATTAAAAATAACAATTTAAAAATAGCCGAGCTAATCCTGAAAGATAACAGAATAAATTTTAAACATCGCGGTATCAATTACACACTGCTGTATGTAATACATTTTTCAAATATATCTTTGCAACAAATACCTGTTTTGAGCCAATCAGTCAGGCATGTCTATAGAGATTATAGGCACAACAGGTTTCATTAGGTCGATCTTCTTAATAAGTTTCTCGCTCTTTTCTGTAATCATTGGCTCAGATGGTAATTGATCTCGTTCGTCTCTTGGTTGATAAGAAATATTACCATATTCTTGAAGCAATGGACATAAACCTAGCAGGAAGTGACAAAAGTCTTTTCTGATACCAAACCACCCTAAACAAAAAGTCCATCGTTCTTACATGCTAATAAATAAAATTAATAATACTGAAATAATTTTATACATGTATTATATCAAAAGAAAATAATAATATATCATTATCCTAGAGCAACTGAGCAAACCTATTCAAAACTCAGCTCATGAGTTAAATGCTTTCACCTTTCTAATGTCTCGTCGAATGAGACAGATAGAAAACAAAAAAAAATAAACGTTAGAGAAAGAGTTCTACCTGGTAATTCTAACGTCTCCTTTTTTGTTTTTCATTTGTTTCGCTCAATGAGACGTGAGAGCGTTTTAGTACTAAGTTTTAGACAGATTTGTTCTAGATTAATATTAAATAATAGTCTACAAGATTATGTCTTACATCTATTTCCGCCTTTTGCACCAAAAGACATAAAAATAAGAGTCATGTGCGATAGGAGAAGTGGCATTGCCACTGTTATATAATTTATTGAAATATCTCCATCTAATTTATTCGCTAGCAGTACCTAAAGCAGAATAATTTTTATCAAATAATACTACACTATAAAAAGAGAATTAAGACAATTATGATTTACTTAATAAGACATGCACACACATAAAATGATATGCTATACCTGAAATACTAAAATGGGAACAACGAGAAATGTATACGCCACCGCTGAATGTAAAGAGGTCCGCCTTTGCCGGGCATTGATTTGTGGCGTTCTCAATAAAACAGCAGCAAATACTATTGCATATAAAACAGCTACCAAGGATAAACAAAGAAGTGCCCATAGTGGCACAAATACAACTTCCCAACTCCATGTTATAAAGCCGTCTAATCTCAAAGCCAAAAAGATAAATTGTAATACATTCACTGCACAAAAGAGTTCCAATTCAAACGACCGATCATGTTTTACAGCCCAAATGCAAACCTAAATCACAAGAAGAATCAGAAAATGAAAGACCTCATTGATATAACTATCAGTAGCAATTTGAAGACATATTCACTCACCGCAATTGATACTATCGAGATAAAAATCAAAGGTATGAATACCAGTATCCATAAGTGCCTCTCAGATTCTAATTTGTCACATACTAACAATTCGAACATCAACAAGATCAGATGCAACGCCAGAGTAATCAACATTGCTTTATAATGTACATAGGCATCTCCTTCTAATCTCGCGTGAGGATGCCTCCACCAGACATAGCTTCCAACTATCGCTCCCAGGATCACCATACCTTTCCAGAACCATATCGGACTGAATATCGACCAATAACTCCATTCAATAAAACCATCCAATCGAAGAGCAAATAGAGATGTGAATATCATCAAACATGTGTGTACCAGAAATTTACTGAAATTTAAAATTAATACTATGTAATAACTGTATAAATATTTATATTCATGCTTATACGAATAATTAATATGTCGTCACAAAGGTGTCCATAATGAATCACCGAGTGTTGTATGAATAATAACACGGAAATTACCTCGGGTTGAAGTCTTGAAAAAGCGTTTGCAAATTCATAATTGTCGGAGCGGTTATGTAGGCCAATTAAACGAAGAGAGCTTTCAGGTTTGTCTTGTCGAGTGGAGATGCATGCTATGTGGAGCGTGCTGACCTCATTTGCCACGGGTACCGTCACGGAAAGACGCAAACGATGCCTCGTGCATCTGTATTCACGAAAAAAATAAATCACTATTCGATATAACCAAAATTTCGAGCATACTGAAGTCAGCTAATAATCATCGGCTGTTCCAGGTTTCCCCACCATTCTCTCCTTCCTTCCGGCCTCGCACACTCACACTCTCACTCATACTCACAATTCGCTATTTATATCTATAGAAAGATTCTTCGACCGAATTCCGATTAACTTATTAGTAATTAATCAAATAATAATAGTGATATTATTCTGCCAATAAAGATGATATTATTAATTTTAACATAAGAAAAAAGGTTAGACAAAGAATTGTTATAAAGTTAGACATTTTGCTTTAGACGATTTTGCCAGTTGAATTATAATCGCGCTGATTAAATTAATTCAATTGTCAATTAAGTGATACTTTAATTAGCAAGAAGTATCTATTAATTTTTTTGTTAAGAACAATAAATTATGTAGTTGAAATCTTGCCCTAGGCGATTGTATCACTTGAATTAATCGCTAATTATAATTTAATCAGAATTCAGTTCAAGTCGTCCTCTCTCATGCCTAGTTTTTAGAAAGAGATATGAAGAGTAAGTTGAACTGAGTTAATCTAAACTTAAAGTTAATCTAAATACATTGGTGGAAACAATTATTAGTGCTCGTTCATTTAACAATGCTTAATTTCTTCACTTCCAGATAAGGTACGGATAATCCTTATCTAGGAGATGTCTCCATTGTATTCTGGGAAATATCTCTAGGATAAAGTTATCTAAAGATGAAGAAATTGGACATAAATCAATCAATACATCATCGTTAATATATAATAACAAAAATCAAATGAAAAATCTTGAATAAATGCTTAATAACAAAATATATTAAACTAATCTTAAAATTTTGCAGCCGCAGGTTAATGTTGTAAGAAGACAACGATTCGAAGATTATTGATGTAAGTACAAAGGATTTTTATATATTGTTATCGCGGCGAAAAATTTCCAATCACACTGACGATATCGCAGATAATCTGTAGAAGATGGAAACTACAATCTATATATCATTGCGGAAAACAGTGATAATAATAAGTGACAGCATAAGAAAGCATATATAGAATAAGTATGATCTTCTTTTGTCCGAGATAAAATAATATGGCGTAAATAACTTGTGAAATGAACGTGAAAGAAGCGTAGAAAAAAACTATCACGATTGTTTGCTATATTGTACACATATCTTTATTTTATACTGAAACTCTCTCTATAAAATAGTCTTATTCTCTCTAAATTCTTTGGACTCTCAGTCTTGAAAGAAAGCGTCCAATTTTCAATCTTTAAGAGTTAGATTTCATTTTTTAGAGATTGATTCTAAATTAAAGTTTTAGAAGGTTACAAAAACTGTATTTTAATTCCAGGAAGCAGTCTTATTAGCGTAACAAAAAAAAAACAGGCAAAATACGAATAAATGGCAGCGAACACACACAATTACAAAATCTTGTATTTCACACGCAAAATATTTTCGTCAATTATTTTGTGTCACGATAGTTGAATTTATTGTTTGTGTTTATATCCGTTAATCGTGTTTGCTCATGATGACGTTCGACTGGAAGACCGTGTAATCCCACTGTCGCCAAATGCCAAACAAAAGCTGTCGAGTAAATAAATAAACTCAATGAGAGATTATTGCGCGCGATAAGACGATCTCATTGCGAATACGCGTTTTAGGATATGTTGTCGCGTGTCCGCAGACCAGTTCGATCGCCATTATTTCGCAATCGCACGCCGCATTATTCTTTCCACGTAGGAATAATTTACAATTCAAATTCAAGTTTCAATGTCACCAATAAATTTCCGAGTTCTCCACCAGATTTTTTGTTTGTGTGTGAACTAACATACGACATATTATGAGGTAAGAGATATCTCGCAAAGAAATCTCATTCTGATCGCAAAAAAACGAATATAACACCTTTAATAATTAATGTCACAACGTAGTTTTGAGTTTAGAATATTTTTCTATCTTAAGATACGATTTAAGATTAGCCAAGTAGAAGTTGTAGTTAATAATAAAATATTAAATTATTTCTTTGAAGAAAATCATCGTGAAATATTATAATTATAAAAAATAACATCTCAACATTCTTACTTTAATCGAATTTTAATTGTTATTGATAATTTATTGCACCAGGAACTGGACGATTACTTTATATTTATTATATTATATTTATTTGTCATCCTAGTAAAAATCATGGAAACGAACAAACAGATCGATAAGACATTGAAATGAGAAGATACAGTAATCTTACTCAGAAATTCTTTTCAACATATTTTATTGAACATTGCGATACAGTTTATTAAAGATAGACATATATAATGCTTCCTAATTATTATTTGCACAATCATATCTTTCGTTCAGACTATCCCAGACTAGCTTAGTTAGTTTGCGAAGAATTAGCCATGACATTTTTATTGTCATTCGAAGTGAGCGTCCTGCGGATGAAATAAATAATTATTACTTTATTGCAATAGCTCATAATTTAAATAATAACAATTTATATTTGATTGTAACTTGATAAATATACAGGTAAAACTTACATATTTCATATATGATAGAAAAATGTCATAGACCATCGTCATAGCATTTATATAAAGTACCCGATAATGTAGAGGCACAAAGAAGAAATTAATGCATTGTGTAGGAGGCCAAAAGCAACAGTCGACCTAGCAGTATAATTTCAATAAGTTATTACGTACATTACATTTTAACAAGAAAACTTTCGATAGCAGCATTTTTTAATCTTAATTATTATACAAACTCGCTCTTTACAGTTATTGAAATATTGATTAACTAATGTAATCCCGTACTTTCCACGTTTCGCCGAACTTTAGCTTTAGTTCCTTGCTGATCTCCTCGATTTTGCGACTCTCCAGAATCCCGAGGCCGACGAAAAATATCGTTAGGCACATGGGACTCGCGAGCGATTGATCCAGAAAGGTTTTTTTGAGGACCGACTTTGCGTTCCTGCCTGGCAAAATCTTGTCTAGAAGCATATAGAACCAATGATGAAACGGACCTTGAAGCAGTCCTACAATCATCATATTCCTGGTTCTCATATAATCATGTCCGTACGTGCTGGAAATTGTCGTCACCTTTTCATCTTCTGGTGATGCTGCCATAACGCTGCTCGGAAAGTATTTACAATGCTTCTTCCAATATTCGCTGCGTTGCTGGATCACATCTCCCGCTGCCATCATCAAGCCACAGCTCACAGTGTTTGTAATTAACAGATATTTACCTACACAGCCAAAGATATAAATTTCAGACAATCGAGCGGCTATTATTTCTAAAAATAAAAGACGTACACTTACCAAATAGTAGCTGACGCAGAACGCCCATTTGTACAAAATTGTATTATACAAATCTTGTGAAAATTCGTTTGATATTGGAACAGATTTTATGTACCTATGTAGTAGAAACGTTAATTGATCCTTCCTTTGATCAACTATTTGAATTATAAGTACGTTTCCTTTCTTTAAATTTATTATCTTCTTAACTCTTCGGTGTTTGTAAAGACAATTAATTGATTTGCTTTCTCTATCAAATTAATGACATACCTTATCTTTCCTTCGATCAACAATTTGAATTTTAAGTGCGCTCCGTTTTTTAAAATTTATTTATTATTTAATCGAGCGAATCTTCTTAATTCTGCGGTGCTTATGGAGACGAAACGTTCGTTGAATATTGTTTCGTGGCATAACTTTCAAATTGGCAAGCTGAAGATCAATGGTCTTCGAGCACAGTATCGGCAGATGCCTAGATGCACAATGAAGCTACACCAATCATCCGAGTTATCATTGTGCATCAAACGTACTGTTCGGCGAGATCGGAGGCTTACTAAATATATGGGATACCGCGATAATTAAAAATTCCACGAAGATTGTACAAACGACACGTAGACACATCTTATCTTTCTGATCACGCATGCTTCAAATTTTTTTGTCAAATATGATATAACACATAAGAATACATACACAGATTTATCAGAAGTTCTTGTTTACAAATACTATTTGATATATTAATAGAGAAAAAAATTGAAGTACTTAATTTTAAGTTATTTTACTTATTCAATATAATAAAAAAGCCTTTTAGAGTCAACACAAGTTCTTAGTATATACAGGAATTTAGTATATATAGGAAGTTTATTTAACAAGACAAAATAAACGGTTAAATTTATTCTGTGTAAAATTCCATTCAAGAATGAAACTCTATATAAGAAGTCTAGATATAGAGAATATACCAGATCTATAGAATATACCAGAAGTCTGGATAATGCAATAAAAAAAGTGAAACTCATAAATATTTATATAGTTATAAATACTTTATAGAAGTAAATAATTCAATAAATACAATAATATTATTAGAATTATTAAATTATAAGGAATTCTCTTATAAGGAATTGAAGTGCTAATTTTGTGACTGGATTTTTTATTGATAGTCAAAATTACAACTTAATTAGACAATAAGACAAAGGGGAGTCAATGTATTATTTAGCTGCAACAGCTTTGGGTTTTGGTAAGCCTTCCCTGAATCCATTCCTGTAACATGAATAAAATCGTTTATATTATTGTTTATATTATATTGTATATATA